ACTGGTAGGAATTTGAAAAACAGCAAAGGCACAGGCTGATGATGTCAGAAATTGCTGCTTGGACGATAGCGATGTTTATCCAGGAAAAGAAAATAAATGATTATCCAGGATGAGGCGCCACTTATGAAAATCACAACATGCCTTCTGCAGTACTGTGACTTGGCTGAGTGGGCCAATTGACTGAACTTGAGGTGCGTTCAACAGACACTGCACTTTATGTGGTTTCCCTATAAAAAATAGTCTCCTAGGTTGTTGAGATCTGAGCTTGAGTGCCTCTCCATCTTGACTTAATCCTGGAACAGGGCTGTGGTGCAGGGCTGTGGTGCAGCCAACTACAGAATGACTCACTTCAGCTGGATATGGGTTTATCAAATCTCTGGCTCAAATGCTTGGGGCAATCTGCTGAAGGTATAAGCATTAGATTAACTAAGAGCCCTTGAATGTGTATAAATGAGTAAATAAATTAAATAAAACTAGAAATGTTATCTGTACTCAAACTGCTCAGGTTTTATTACCATTGATTTTGTTGCTGCCATTCAAATGAGATGTTTTACACTTTGATGTGTAGGAATACTTCTGTTTTTACTTTGTGGTGTGGCTTAAAGGAAAAAAGAGAAGAAATCTTGATTCAGGTTTGTAGGATTAGGATTAATCAGGTTAAGATTAATAATTCACACTATTCCAGTGTTCATTTCAAACCGTCTCACTCACAGGAAGAGTCTCTTTTCCGTCCTGCTAAATTTCCTCTGAACACCTCAGAAGAAGTGGGCATTCAGTTTGCTGCTGTGAACTTGTGTGACACACTGCTGCCACCCAGTGAGTAAACTAAGTCATTACATCTGTACAGATTTTCAGTATTTAGCTGTACTGCTACAATATATACCTGATCGAAATAAGGCGACTCAAGAAGTATGTCAATATAAAGTTAATTACGAACAGTTCAAACATTGTGATTCTGAACAGTTTTGGTTCACAGCAAAACTTCTTGAAACAAACTCTCACCTACACTGTTATCATTCAGATTTGGAAAAAATACAGGGAGATTCACTCAAAAGAGGCCTCGAATATTTTGTTGTAACTCCTGTTAGGATGAAGCAATCTGAAAGAGACATGAAGGGGTATGGGGGTACGCACCCGGAAGTTGCAAACGGAGGTTAAACATGGCTACGGCTGTCCAGAGCCTACCTCATCGCTCCGATGCAGGGGCATCCTGGCTTGGTCGAAGCTCCATATACTGAGGAGCACAGTGCACATTGTTTCGTTCCAATTGCTTCAACCTAGCGAGAGTTATTACAGAATATTCGGGGCCTCTTTCGAGTGAATCTCCCTGTAGAAGAACAATGTCGGACAAGGGACCTTTAGTAGTTTCCCCAATATCACATGGTACATGATGTGAATTCTTCAAGGACTTCTGTGTCTTTCCTTTCCATCACAAATATGAGTGGATCACTCGAGGATCATCGAGTAATCATTTAATATGTATTGAATAAAAACATTTTGTAATGTTTTTATGGATATTCAATACCAAAAATACAATGTACTGGGCAGTGTTAGACTTTTGTGTGGATCTAAAATGTCAATTGTGTTACCTGTCAACTCAGTAAAGTAACTCTAAAATGGTGCCCAGCTCCCCATGTAGGACACTATGGGTCATGAAACAAGAACATCCACATTCAAATAATACATTTTATGTCTAATAGAAACCCATTCGGGATTCAGCCATAGCATCAGCATTCAGTGCAGTATTTGTATGAAATATATTTTAGCACTGTCTTACTGCATAGATGACATGGTTAAAATACAATGCAGAAGTCAGTACCACTCATTCAGTACATGTATATTTAAATTACATTTTTATCCTCTGTTAAAACTACATACAATTAAAAAAGTAGAACAAATACAAATAAATGCATTTAAAAATATATTTGACAAAACATTTTGTACATTATTATATATTGCACAAATATATTTGGTAAATAAATAGGGAATATATTTTTTCCATAAGGGAAGGTTATATGGATGACTTGAAGATATGTCCTCTCTGTCTTTGCCTTGCCGTTGACCCCACAGAGACACCAGTGCCAAATGTTCTGGACATCGTTCAGTTGGTTCCAAATGCTCTCAGACACTGGAAAGGTCCCTGTACCCCACTGCCAGAGCTCATTGTGCAAGCACAGGACAAGAAAGGGTCTATGAACCTCAACAGGTGCACTGCTGCCATCTGCTGAGCAAACGATGGTCTTGTACCTACACTTTGAAATGCAACGTCTATTACATTTGACTGAGTGAAAAAATAAATTATTAAGCCATTCTTGCACTCTCTGCCTTTCATTTCATGTTCCACAGGACTCTGACAGCTTACGCAGCTGATGACCATCTCAGATCTACAGTCAGATCCAACTGAACTGGACTTTCAGCACTGAAGATACATTCACAGCATTTTGATCACTTTACAGAGGAGGCAAAGGTACTGTTAGGTGTTTCACTCAGGGCCTCTTATTAGTATTGTATATGGTACTTGCCCAGGTAAGAGAATGAACTCCGATGCAGGAGAAAAGCTGAGAGAGATGGACATAGTACATTTCTGGAGCAACAGACAACGTAACTGTTTTTCTCTGTTTTCATTTTCGGTTTTCTGACTTGGTTTCTGAAATTTAATGTAACTTTTGTTGCTGTGCCTTTAAGGCAGATATATGTAATTGATCCCTGTTCTTATTGGCTGCCCTGTATTGTCGCTCTTTCAAAAAGCAGTCCAAGCTAAACGCTCTTTATGATGTCATTGTTCTGTTCCCTAAGGGGTTCTTTCTGCTGCTCTCCCTGCCTTAGGCTTCCATGTATGCACATGGAAGGACAGGGAGGTCCTGGAATATAGCCATACCACCAAGTATGACTTACTGCAAGTGGAAACAAAATATTTTCTTTGATGAAGTGCTCCTGACTGAAATCACTTTTTTTGAATCTTAAAATATTTATTTTGTGACAAACACTAAAAAAAAAAAGCAACCACAATTTTTTCCCTGCAAATACATCCCACCCGCGCCTTGATGTAAGATAATGGATGCTCCAGTATTGTAGGATGGTCATAAAGTTTAAGTTACTGTGGGTCACTCTGCTAACTGCTCTCACTTTATTATTTTGTTCATTTAGCCTATACTGTACTGCAGGACTAGCTACTTTTTAGCCTTGTTTATTTTTGTCATGGTAGTTTCAGTTTTTTGTACTTTTTTGCCTTATTTAAATATGAATTTTCATTTTTTTATTATTATTGTTGCTGTTCACAGATGCACGTGTCTGTGGAAAGGAGAAAAGCTAAATATTGTCAATTTCACACTATGTGACAGTGATGCCTTTTTGGTCTAATAATTATTACAGTTTTTCCCTTACTGCCCATCCATCATTGGTTGTTATACACCAAGTAGAGAAGACCTCAAACCAGAATGTACATAGAAAAACTGTACAATTTAATAGTAAACTTCCTTTCCAGAATTACACAAACATAAAAAATAGACATGAAGAAGATAATGGATAAAAATACTAGATGAAATGCTAGCAACAATAAAAAAGTAGAGAAATTATATCAACAGGTCAACATATTTGAAAAAATATATCTCAGACAACATAGCAAAATGTATCGTAATGTAATATAAAGGAGATCGGGCTGGTTCACAAACATAACTAAGCATAATCTCACTAGTTAAATTCAACAAAAATTATGTCCACATGGGTCCCTCATGTGCATCTGATTGGCAATCAGGGGCTACAAAATCACCTATCATATAGATCCACAGTGATGGAAGTACCCAGTGTCAGGTGTAGACTGTGGCAGGACATACCACAGGCCTCATAGAGGCACAAAACCCAAAGACATGTATCACATGCTAAGTGTAAGAGTATATTTATAAGAAATATGCTCTATATTATAAATATACCAGTTAGATTATAGTAGATAATCTATAACTCTTCACAAGGCAGGTATGTTTCAGACATAGATTAAACTGTGCTGGAATGAACTGCAGTGCCAACAGCATTTAGGCTTAGGCTTAATCTGGGTAAGTAACGTAGAAAACAGGCTTACATTGTTCTGATAGTTTCTCAAATCAGTAAACCGCTGTAATTACTGGCTGACAAGGCTTAGTTTTTATCAATGACATTACACTTTTGTGACCAATATGGTCATTAAGCAGCTGATATGACAGCAAAAGTACAAAAGAGATGTTAATATAGTCACATGTCTTTATATATACAAGCAGTAATCAATGTTATTGTAAAACCACACTGAGGTAAATAATTTCAGTAAAATACAAAATCTGACGAAGTGAATACAGTAGATCTGGAATTAGAATTTTACACAGCACTGTTTAAATTACTGTCATGCAGTTTGGTACCCAACAGCATCACAAAGCATGACATTCAATTCAACACAAAGAAATGTACATCAAATGGAAGTGAAACAGTAGTAAACTGGTAAAGCGATGAAGTCTAAACCAGTAACACATAATAAACATGCTCTGCAAATTCTGGTCCAATGGTTATAGAGCAGTGTTTCATAAAAGGTGATAAACTAAACTATCCTTATGATTATATGAACTACACTATATGGACTAAAGTGTTGGGACACCCCTCCTAATTACTGAGTTCAAGTGTTTCAGCCACACCCAATAGCTAACAGGTGGATAGAATTAAGCACATAGCCATGCAGTCTCGATAGACAAACACTGGCAGTAGAATGAGTCGTAAAGATGAGCTCAGGCACTGTTATAGGATGCCACCTCTGCAACAAGTCAGTTCTGTGGAGTTTCTGTGGAATCAAGCTTCTCTATCTTGCAGTCTGGTGGACAAGTCTGGTGGCGAATGCCAGGAGAACATTACTTTTCTGTCTGCCAAGTGTAAAGTTTGGTGGAGGAGGGATAATGCTATGGGGTTGTTTTTCAGGGGTTGGTCTAGTCCCCTTAGTTCCAGTGAAGGGAAATCTTAATGCTTCACCATACCAATACATTTTGGACAACTGTATGCTTCCAACTTTGTGGGAACAGTTTGGGGAAGGTCCTTTGCTGTTCCAGCATGACTGAGCCCCAGTGCACAAAGCAAAGGCAGGGTTGGGTGAATTTGGTGAACCTGACTAGTAGTTTGTTCTTCTCAGATTCTTTTGGCTGTGCCGTAGATTGGATTTCTGCAAAAAAAGTTTCATTGAGGACATATTAGCCAGAGAAAGTACTGACTTTAACATTTTGGCATGTAAAACTTTACTTGACAAATTTCACATACTTCCTTATTCTTTGTGGTCAGGAAGTGCTGGCGATGTTCCAAAATGTGTTTTTGGTATGCTGAGAAAACTAATTTCTGCTATCAAAAGCACTGACTGCCCACAAAAAGCTTATTTCTCATATTTGCAATTTTAACAGATCCTTTTCTTTTAAACATGCACCACTGTCTCTTCATGAAAAAACAAGCATCAGAATTCAATTCTAGAAGCTAGGCCTGTTATGATCATGAAATTTTGCTGATGATTAACTGTCACATAAATAATCACAATTAACATGTTTTTGATGTTGTTGTTCATTTTCCGCAGCTATCAAACTGCAACCTGACAGCAGCCAAATTGGCTAAGTAGGCATTTTGCTTCCTAGTGAGGTTTACTTTGTAGCAAATATCAGGTTGTACTGACATGAAATGATACACTGTGCTATTATGTGAATGCAAACACAGAAAACATCTACAGTTACTCAGAATCATGTGTTCAGTCAGGACACTCAAACAATCCTCTAAATGTATTATAGCACAGTTATAAATTAGAACTTTTGTTGTTTTAGTAAGACCCATGACATGTCTCGAAAATAACTGTGGTCACTTAAATAACTGTAAACAGCTTCAATAACTGCAATCAGGCTAAAGTGCTATAAAAAGTCACTTGAATTGAATCAACTAGTGTTAAAAAGAACAGCAATATATTTCTTATTACGTTATACATGTCCGTCTCGCATAATGAAATTATTTGCAGTGGTTTTCAGACTGGACATCTCCGTGCTTGCTTGTTTATACAATAGTTTTTGAAGACAGTGTTTCTAGTTGACAGATCTGTTCTGTCAGGCAGTCTTCAGGGTTAGTGTTTGTGTTTAGAATATAGCAGAGAGTAGTACCATTTTAATGAAATTGGTAATAAAGTTGTAAAAAAAACAGTAACAGAAGTTACAGGTACTGTACCTTCTGTTATAACTGCAGCTGCTGTTTATCTGTGGTCAAGAATCTTTTTTTTAGAAAAAAGTTTAAAAAAGTGATGCTTACATTGAGGTGTGTGTGTGTGCATGCAAGTGTGAGAGTGATCGGTCACATGCATCACCTACCGAATAGCTCTTGGTTTAGAAAGGGTCACTGTGGCATACTGTACATCCTCATCTTGTTTAAGAGCATTTGGCAGTTGGACAGTGGAGTAAAGAGGGGGAGAGCGTGTGAAACGAACAGTGGTGTAGTTAAGTTCATCCTCATCATCTGACGCTGCTGTTCTTGTGGGAGCAGAAGTCATGGGCATGGCTGAGACGTTATCATACACTGGAGCACATTCATCCTAAGAGAGAGAAACAGAGATAAATATGGAGATTAAGATGCACAGACCTAAATAAGACCCATAAGACCCAGTGGCAGACTCAGGCTGTTTAAAGGATGGGGCAAAAAAATAAAAAGGGTACCTACTGAACAACATGGAGCCACACTAGCACGCAAAAAGCTATGATGCATCATTTATGATGAAATGATCTTCATCCTTGATTAGGGATAATATTACATTATTGGGCAATCCACTATAAACCTTTAAAATGTTTACTTCACAAACACCTTCGATGTAAAACACAGAGGGAACTATTAACATGTGTTCACAAACACATACACGGATGTGATAATGTAAATGAGAAAGCAATGGTTTCAGAGCTTGGTAGTCAGGAGTAGTCACTCTTAAGCTAACTGAAAAAGCAATTCACACCAGCTTTAACGTCCTATGGGCATAGGGAACGTCAAGTTTAGACCATTGTAAGGGCACCTTATAGGGCCCTGAATCACATTTTCTCCACTAGAAGGGCACTCATTAAAATGTAATATCTAATTTTCTTGCACATTGCCATAATTTTTTTGCCTGAAGGGGCACCCTAGGGGGCACTCAACTGTCTTTTTTTTCATATGTGAGGGGCAGCTAATAGGGCACTTCCTTCCATTAAGGACTTGTCAGTAAATTTAAACTGAGATGAAATGTCATTTATCCATTAGTAAAACTTACCTTTCCACTCTGCTCCTCACTCCTGTTGCTTGCAGCTTCTGCTCTTCTCCTGTTGGGGTTTTTGTGCAGAAAGGTTACCAGTGAATTTTTACTTTGTGACAATATAGTGTAGAGCAAAGAGCCTATAGATTGTGTGAACAGTTTACATGCAGTATTCACAGCAAGTAATATATAATATGTATTACATGCGGTTTAAGCTTCTCACCTCATCCACATAAAGGCAGCAATGAGCGTCAGCAGGAAAATCACTGTGACTGAAGAAGCTGCGTATTTTGCAGATGTGTTATCTGTATTTGTGAAAAGATATGAAACATCAAATGTTTTTTATGATGTGTTATAGAAGTCTTGGCCAGCCTTTCTTTTTTCGACTAAAGCACTAGCAAGAAGGACCTTAATTAGATCCATAACATACCTGATGTAAATGACCACACAGATGAGTTGTATGACCCATACTGATTCATTGCCATGCAGTAGAGAGGCCCATGCACTCCCGTGGCTAAAGTTAAATTGGTGCTGTTTCCAATGAGTTGGATGTCACTTCCTGTTTTCTTGTACCAGAAGTAAGAGCTAGCAGGGTTGGAGTCACTGATACAGACAAGGGTGACCAAGCTGCCAGTGACATGCTCCAATACAGATGGTAGTCTCGGAGGGTCTGAGCAAAACAGAGACTCAGCCAGTCATTTAGTTTATCACACTTATTAAAAAACAGAACAAACTACACTTACATAACACAACCAGATGGGTGGGTGTTGAGCTGTGCTGTCCTAGCTGGTTGTGAGCAGTGCAGTAGTAGAGTCCACTGTGCTGGGAGCTGATGTTGGTGATGGTGTAATTCTGGCCTGTTGTCAGTGGTGCGTCTGCAGCTGCTCTCTGCTTAAACCAGGAGTAGATGAGAACAGGAGGGTTTGCATCACTGCTGCAGCTCAGAGTCACTGAATCTCCCTCCACTCTCTCTCCAGAGGAAACAACTACTGCTCTGGTGTTTCTAGGGGAATCTGAAAATAGACACAGACATGGAAAGAGCTCTTTCTTCATGGGTGTGCTAAGAATGTCACATGCAGCCCTATAAAGATACTTGGAATTGTTATGTCCTTGTAATATATGTTATAGACATTTTGGGAAGAAAGGCTAGCCACAGCCAAATGAGAGGTGCATATCTGCAGTAAGTACACTGGGCCATTGAATAATGTCTTTGATAATCACAGTGACTTAAGGACATTAGTATCTCCTCCATTTGCTGATGTACAAAAGGAGAGTAAGAGAGAAGTAAATCTTACAATACTCAACTCAAGACAGTGTTAGTGGGTTAGACAGTAGTTAGACAGTGTTCTTTCAGTCATAGGTATACTTTCTGTCAAATGTGTACAAAAAAAAGTTCCTCCGTTTGGCCCGTGCTGGTCTTTGAGTGGTTGTTACTGAGACTCTTTCAGTGTCCTGATCAGAGTAGCATGGTTCCTTTGCCAGTCTTTATTAGAATCCTCATGTTCTTTAAATGCTCATTTCAAAGTGCTGATTGTCAGATCATTTTCATAGCTGATATCTCCTTGGCATTTCTAATATGACTCCACTGCTTACTTTCCTTTTTCCTATGACATTTGTCGACCTTCTGTATCTCTGATGGCACTGCAATCTAAACAGTACATTTAAAGCTAGGAGAGTTTTTTCTTTATTGGTTGAAAAACATTTTTTTCAATATTCACATCTCATGTCAGATGTTGGTTTTACTCTAGATAAAATTCAGCTGATGTTAACACCATCACTGACTTGGTGTCTCTCAGACACCAGCAGTTTTAAGTCACTGTTGTTCTGTTGCTTTAAAGGCACTTACATAACACATCCAGATGGGTGGGTGTGGAGCTGTGCTCTCCTAGCTGGTTGTGAGCGGTGCAGTAGTAGAGTCCACTGTGCTGGGAGCTGATGTTGATGATGGTGTAATTCTGGTCTGTTGTCACTGGTTCATCTGCAGCTGCTCTCTGCTTAAACCAGGAGTAGATGAGAACAGGAGGGTTTGCATCACTGCTGCAGCTCAGAGTCACTGAATCTCCCTCCACTCTCTCTCCAGAGGAAACAATCATTGCTCTGGTGTTTCTAGGAGAGTCTGATTGGAAAGAAGATAAATATTCCAATGTTACATACCAACACTGAGGTATTATAGTGCCAACATACTATATCTGTTGAAACTAAATCTCATGTCTCCAAAATGGTAACTTCACAGGAGAAAAACTTTGAATTGAAGTTAATAGAACAAGATCACTTGGAACATTTCTTTGCTCTATTCATCATAAAAATAACATTAACATAGTGTAAACAGCAGCTTGCATTTTCAAGTTCTGTAAAAACACAACAAAAGTACAGATCCAAGAATTTGTTCCAACAGTGATTTTTTTTTGTAAATTTTGAAAAATTAAAGATTTTGCTGAAGAGCTATTCAAGTATATTAATTACTAACTAATATTTACTTATTTATGTATTAACTGAATAATCCCCATATAAGATAATGTAATGCAGATGACTGTGGATTATCTAGGCATGCAAAACACTTTACTTACACACTGGAGGAGAGAGGAGGCTCTCATAGCCTTCAACAGCACAGCTGTAGCTGACCCCATCACTGACCACAGCTACAGAGCAGGAGGCAGATTTGCAGTGAAACATGGCCTGTCTGTTCTTGTACCAGATGTAAGTGGGATTGTTAGGCAGAGTGCAGGTGCTGCTACATATCAGTGTTACTCTCTGTTCCTCTGACATTGTGACTGCAACAGGTTCCACTTTCACCTGCAGGCCTGTGAGAGACCCCAAACAGCCCTTTAGAGCTCAAACACAGACAGTAAACACTGAGACACAAGCCGAACCAGAACACACTTTTCCTACCTGTGACAGAGAGATAGACTCCGGTAGAGCTGTCTATGTCATACCAGCTGGCTTTAAATCGGAGGAGATATTCTGCTGAGTCACTCTCTGTGAGATGTTTCAGTCTCAGTTTGATCATATTAGCTCTGTCACTAAAGAACTCCACTCGGCCCTCTGCAGGACTCAGCTCTTTATCCCGTTGTCCTGTTCTGATGAACCAGACAGGCTGGGGGTCAGACATCTGATTAGGGAAGGTGTAGTAACCATGGATGTCCACTGATGAGCCAGTCAGTGCACAGATAGTCTGGGTGAAGTAAGACACACTCCAGCAGCTGTTCCAATTATAAACACCTAAAATAGAAAAACTCAGAGTGAAAGCACTTGAAACATACAAACTGAAAAACAGAAAAGGCTGCTAAGTATAAAATGAATTATAGCAGAAAGCTAAAAGTGATGTTCTTACAAACAGCAGGAGAGCGGAGCTCCTCGTGTCCTTTTATAGCGCAGGAATAGCTGCCTGCATTCACAGGACTGACAGACAAATACAGCCTACTCTTGTACATGTAAGGTACAGTTACAGGCTGTCCGTTCCTGTACCAGATGTAGGTGGGGTTGTTGGGCAGAGTGCAGGTGCTGCTACAGATTAGTGTCTTTTCCTTTGTCATTGTGACTGCAACTGGTTCCACTTTCACCTGCAGGTCTGTGAAAGAGACCATCAGTGACTTTAGAGCTCCAACACAGTAAACACTGAGACACAAGCAGAATCCAAACACACTTTTCCTACCTGTGACAGAGAGAGAGGCTGCAGGAGAGCTGTGTGTGTGATACCAGTAGGGGGATTTAAATCGGAGAAGATATTCTGCTGAGTCGCTCTCTGTAAGATGTTTCAGTCTCAGTGTGTTCATATTAACTCTGTCACTGAAAAACTCTACTCGGCCATCTTCAGGACTCAGCTCTTTGTCCTTTGGGGTGAATCTTATGTACCAGGCAGGCTGGGGGTCAGGCAGCTGATGAGGGAATGTGTAGTAACCGTGGATGTCCACTGATGAGCCAATCAAAGTGCAGATAGTCTGGATGGAATAAGACACACTCCAGCAGCTGTTCTGATCAAAAACACCTGAAACACAAAACAACTCAGAGTGACAGCACACACAGTCATCTAGTATGTACAAAATGAAAAATAGAATAAATGCTACATATAAACTAGATTACAGCAGAAAACCTTAAAACACAAATTCAGTGATAGAAGAGCTGCAAAACACATGAAACAAACTGAATGACAAACACCTGATATATCTGCAATGCACAAATTATGTGTAAATAAATATATATTTATTGTAATCGATTATCTTGAACCTTAGATGTTAATGATGATGACAGAAGTTTAAAGTAAGTTCTTACAGACAGCAGGAGAGCGGAGCTCCTCATGTCCTCTTACAGCACAGGAGTAGCTGCCTGCATCCATAGAACTAACATACAGGTACCTACTACTGTGCCAGTTAACTACAGGCCTTCCATTCCTGTACCAGATGTAAGTGGGGTTGTTCGGCAGAGTGCAAGTGCTGCTACACAACAGTGTCTTTTCAATACCTGTATTTGACACTGTAACCTGCAGACCTGCAGAAGATTTTAAAAAAGTGTTATTTTCATCTCTGGAATATTCTTGTGGTTAATTAAACTTATTTTATGTTATGTAGCTGTACCTGTGACAGACAAAGTCACTCCAGCTTTTCCTGTGTATTGGCTTCTATCAGTGTAGAATCTGAATCTGTAAGTTTGAGTGTCACTCTCTCTCAGGTGAGTGATTCTCATACTACAGTCATTCTGGACGCTCTGTCTGTACTGCACTCGTCCCTGATACTTTGCTTCCTTTTGTAGATCCACAGGCTCAGCACCAGCCTGCTCTTGAATGAACCACACTGATTTAGTCACTGTGTGTCCTCCAGGGTTATAAGAGCAGGAGAGATCAACTGATGATCCTTTCAGAGCACACACATGTTCAGGAGTGTAAGTCACACCCCAACACTCTCTACCCAGAACACCTGAAACACGCACACTTACAATCAGAAAAAGGAATTCAAGTGATTTCCAATGATGAAAATACTATATTGTATCTGACCATGAAAGGAAAAGTTAATAGTGCTTGTTGTACAGTCAGGACCTTAAATATTTAGACATTAACAAAATTATTGTTATTTTATCTGACGGCATATTGGAGTTGAAATTAAAAAAGGGAGATTGCAGACTTTTAGCCTTAATTAGAGGGTATTTACATCCAAATCGGTTGAACACTGTAGGAAATACAACCACTTTCATACACAGGCCACCCCATTTTTATGGGCTCAAATGTAATTGGACAAACTTACAATCACAATTTAAATTGTCATTTGCAAATCCTGAAGTCAATGACTGCCTAAAGTCTGGAGCCCGTAGACATTAGCAGATGCTGTTTTTTTCCCTAGTGATGCTCTGCTGAGCCTTTAGTGCAGATGTTCCTGCTTGTTCTTGGGGTGTTTTATCTTCAGTTTAGCCCTCAGTAAGTGAAAAGCATGCTTGATTGGACTGAGTTCAGGTAATTGAGTTGAGTATTGCAGAACACTTCCATTTCTTTGCCTTAAAAAAAGTCCTGGGTTACTTTTGTTGTATGCTGCCATTTGTGCTGAAATCAATTGTATAATTAAGTATTTAACTTTGACTATATATGTATTGAATTTGCTTCTCATTTTTCAAAGGAATTATTATACTATTTTTTAAAATATAATAATATTGTTCAACTTAAAAATATAGTTAAAGCGCCAAAACCTGCAGCACTATAGAAAGATGTAGAAGATCAAAAAGTCTTTCTGTGCATGCCATATTTGTATACCAAATACACACTATCAAGGCACAGAGGAAAAAGGTTTTGGTAAAATTATCATAACATGCTTTGCATATCGCTGTTGTCAGAAAAAATCATATCTCTAAAATGGTAACTTTACAGGAAAAGGATAAAACTTACTATACTTTTAATATAAGACTTTTTTGCAAGTCATTTTTGGTCATTTGTTTTAGTCCATTCATCATGAAACTTACACACACTGTTAAGGACAACAGGCATTTTCAAGTTAGGTTTTGTTCCGACGGCAGCGATATGTAGAAACAATCACAGTGAGGATGGAGTTCAGTAACAATGGCCATGATACTTATGGTATTCCAAGATATGGAAATTGTGTGCTTTTCAATAAAGAAGAGCTAAACATTTGAAGAGTCTGTTTAAAAAGCTTACTGTGATATATGAGCATGAAATGAAGTAGAGCAGGTTTAGCTACCTTTAAACACATCATGGCAGGTCTGTTAGTAGTATTGCAATATTGTTATTGCTATATACAACCCCATTTACAAAAAAAGGCATGTTTACCGTGTTTCATCACCTCTTCTTTTGACAACACTCTGTAAGCGTTTGGGAACTGAGGAGACTGACTGCTGTAGTTTTGAAAGTGAAATGTTTTCCCATTCTTGTTTGATATAGGATTTCAGCTGCTCATCAGTACGGGGTCTCCTTTGTCATATTTTTCATTTCATAACCCTGCAAATGTTTTCAGTGGTGACAGGTCTGGACTACAGGCAGGTCAGTTTAGCAGACTGTTTTAATACAGAGCAATGCTGTTGCAATACATTCAGAATGTGATTTGACATTGTCTTGCTGAAATAAGCAAGGCCTTTCCTGAAAACAGCATTGTCTGGATGGCAGCATATCTTGCCAAAACATGTATATATCTTTCAGTATTAATGGTGCCTTCACAAAAGTGCCAGTCACCCATACCATGTGCACTATTGCACCTCTATACCCTTATGAATACTGGCTTTTGAGCTGTGCACTTATAACAAGCTGAGTGGTCTTTAGCCTGGAGGACACAGTGTCCATGATTTCCAAAAAGAATTTCAAAGTTTGATCCATCAGACCACAGGACACTTTTCCACTTCCCCTCAGTCCATTTTAAATTAGCTCGGGCCCAGAGAAGGTGGCAGAATTCCTGGATCCTGTTTATGTACAGTTTCTTCTTTGCGTTTTAGAGTTTTAACTTGCATTTGTGGATGCAGCGCAAACTGTTTTCACAGACAGTGGTTTTTAGAAGTGTTTCTGGGCCCGTGCAGTGATTTCCACTACAGAATCATGTCTGTTTTTAATGCAGTGCTGTCTGAGGGCCCAAAGATCATGGCCAGCAAATACTGTTTTTTGGCCTTGTCCCTTGCATACAGAGATTTCTCCAGATTCTCTGAATCTTTTAATGTTATTATGTTCCGTAGATGATGAAAAGCAAAAGTTCTTTGCTATTTTATATATTTATGCTGAAAAATGTTATTCTTGAATTGTTGCTCTATTTGCCTGTGCAGTCTTTCACAGAGTGGTGAACCAATCCCCATCTTTACTTCTGAAAGACTCTCTGAGATGCTTTTTTATACCCAGTCATGTTACTGACCTGTTGTCAATCAACCACCAGGTGTTTTTTTTAGCATTACACAACTTTACCAGTGTTTTGTTGCCCCTGTCTCAACGTTTTTTGAACATGTTGTTGGCATCAAATTCAAAATGGGCATATATTTAAAAAACAATAAAATGTATCAGTTTCAACATTTGATATGTTGTCTTTGTACTATTTTCAATTAAATATAGGGTTTACATGATTTGCACATCATTGCATTTTGTTTTTATTTACATTTTGCACAGCGTCCCAACTTTTTTGGAAATGGGGTTGTAGACGCTATTTCATCCTTCAAAAGACATACTGAGATGCTTTCACGTAAGTAGACTTTTAGAGTGCTGTTGTTTTTAGGGATGCACTGATATGGGGTTTGTGCGCTGATATCTGATAGTTTACATGTGTATATCTCTACATCTACATGTTGGACATGCAAAACTGCCTCTGTAAAGGGCACCGCACACTTGATGAGCCATGTCATGCAGCGTCCAGAAATTCAAAACCATTGTTTTTAAATGGAGGTCTGCACACCTGTGCCAGTGCTCCATCACATTGCTCCATCACAGCATGCCACTCAGCATTTTTCCATTACTACATTAAACTAAAGCCATATTGTAGACCACATGTGGCTTGAAACTTACACAGAGAAAGGCAGCCTGTCTTTTAGGTAAATAGATGAATGCTAATGGTAAGCGGTTGAGTGGTTACCTCAGCTAATGTTACTATCCTAGCCATTTTGAGGTCAAAAACAGCCAGTTTGTGAAGAGGCAATACAGTGATGTCATACGTGATAAGTGATGCAGGACACTTTAATTTAAGGCCATAACACTGACTAATGGTAACAGTACAATAGCCTTTTCATTTTTGATGATTTTTGGGAACTTTGGGTGTACATGATTAAAATAAAAAGTAGGTCACCCAATTAAAAACAACTGCTAGTTTCAATTGAATTTTGACAATAACAGAAACCAAAACAATTGAGCTGAACAAAATTTACAGAAAAGACAGCAAAATGATGGTGAATATATGAAGCTGAAGTTGACTTTTTGGTCCACTTCTTATTTTAATTTTCCAGTCCACCTTAAACGTTGCAGCAATGACATTCCAACGCCTAACTGCTGCACCATTTAAGGTGGAACAGCAAATTCCAATATATAGCTGGCGGATAAAAAGTCAACTTCAGCTTCGTGGTAAATGTTGTCATGATGCTCATCAGCGTCAGAGTCTGAGTCACTGGTGTTGAAGTGAAAGTTGAGGCCCAAGTCTTTCTCGATTTTCTCAAGTCGAGTCCAAAGGTTTTGAAGTGGAATGGGAAAATTTGAAACAGAAGCTGACAAATAAGAAGCCAACTTAATCTTCAAAGTTTTAATGCTGCTAGTATTTATTTTTTTTTCTTTCATAAGAACACTTAAGCTACCTAAACATCCTACCTAGAGTTTTTTGTATGGAGCTAGCTACCTGAGTACCAGCGTTACCTAAACATTAATGGTGATCTTCCAGCACACAACAAATGCATCATGAAATAATAGTTTGAAATATCGGCCAAATCTAAGCATTGGAGCGATGATGATGATTTTTAAAAAACATCAGCTGATACCGACATGATTCCGATATCATCATGCATCCCTAATTATTTTGAATAATACTTAAAGAGACAACATTAGCTTCACTATTTTGTCAGTTTTTTTAATATTCTTCAGTTTGATGCTGACGGACTGGCCATGTCTGGGACTTACACACTGGTTTCGAGCGGCGCCACATACTGCCATCAGACACCTCACAAGAGTAGCTGCCCTCATCAGATAAGCTCTTTGAGTTGAGCAGAATGAAGTTGTCACGTATATGTGATTCGAATCGCATGTTCCTCCTGTACCAGTTGTAGTAAAGTTTTTCTCTGAGACTGCAAGTGGAGCTGCAAATCACTTTTACTTTTCTCTGTCCTGCAGTCTTATGATCCACTTTCACTTGCAATTCTACACACACACACACACACACACACACACACACACACACACACACACACACACATCATATACCAGAATTTTGAAAATCTTAATTCTTATGCAAATGTATAAACTCTGTATAAGTGTAGGTACATGTGTATGTTAATTTACCTGTAACAGTCAGATTAACTCCAGATGAAGCTGATATCCAGTCACTGCTTGATGTTCTGAATCTGAAGTTATAAACTCCAGAGTCTCTCACTCTCACATCCCTCACTGTCAGATCACAGTCATTCCACCATGTACTTACAGAAACCCGTCCTGGAATGTAGGTCAGGACTCGTTCTTCTCCATCAGAGTTCTGGAGCTGATACCACTCTTTCTTACTAACACTATAATAATCAGGTGTTGTATATTTACAGGAGATTTTTACTGTAGATCCAGTAACAGCACAGAGACTCTGAGAGGAGAGAGTTACACTCTGCTGAGCCTGGACTCCTGAAAGACACACACCCGGTGCACAATTACAGATATGAAATTATAAAATTACAAAATGAATTTAGTTAACACAGTGTTAATTGCAGCTGCTGATGTTCCATTTAAATGAAATATGAAATTACTGATACAAGCAATAGAAAAATGTGTGAAGTAGGAACTCTGCTGTTTTAAAAACTCTGATATAAAGGTATTGAAATGAGCAGTTTAAATGTGCCGGCAGATGGACCTTAGGGACCTTTGCTATGTATCGAGATCTTAAATCCATTGCAGTTGTTAATCAAATTTAATCAAATGTGAACGAAATATAGTGTTGTTTATTGGTGAGACTGACCCACCCCATACACTTTTAAGTTCCTGAAAACGAGCCAAATATGAACCAAACACAAGCACAAAAACACAGAGAGTGAAACAAGACAATAAATATGAAATAATAAAAAAAAAGTTACCTGCGAGTAGCATGAGGATTGCTGCTAGTGATGTATTTCCTGCCATTCTATAAAGCACGGCTACATCAACCTTTGAACACAAATAACAAACACACACACACACGACTCATTATTATTTGATTTTATAATAACTATATATGTTTTAAAAAGACAAAACACAATGTACTTACATTTCTTTCAGTGAGCACTCGTCAGTCATGTGGTTACACTGGAATGGAAAAATCTATTATCAACCATCTGAAACTTAAGGCGGCTCAGTCCCTGATTTCCTTCCTCATTATTTAAATAAACTGAACAAAAGCTTTGTTTCAAAATATGTCAGACTAGTCAATAAAGTAATAAAGTGTTCACATTTTAAATGGGCAATAAAGGTTTGTGCCAATGATTGTATATAAATCACTGTGTTCATCAGTTTTTCCTCCTCACAAACAGACACAACACTGTGAAAAAGTCAATGTATTGCTTACATCTAAAACACCTTTGAGAAACTTGTTTAAAAAGTTAAATGTTTAAAATGCAATGCATAAACATGTGGACAGTCTAGTTATTCAGTTAGTCAGAATACTTAATCAGTTTTGCCTGACCTTTGTTACTGCAATATGTTTAATTGGTAAATCCAGCAATGAGAATGCAGCAAACACTGAATGTTATTCCTGCTAAAAACTTTCGACAAACTGAATTTATTTTCAAAATTTGCTATACTTTAGAAAAGTTCTGTTTAGGAACATTGCAATGCAGCTCTCAGCTGTCATATTTCTGCATGCATACACATATTTAATGTTATACTTAAATACACAAACTGTGGCCTGATGCACTTCTCCATAGGATGAGATAGGCTTGATCTTCAAGAAGTAGACTTAAACTGGTATCATGCCATTTTACAGTTCCATTTTAAACATTGTCAACTATGATTACGATAAAGCCTTTGATCATGTGTTTTAAAAAATGTATTACTTTCTTACTGTTCTTTCAGAGTGTAGTTATCGGCCATGTGTTTTTTTTTTTTTCCGTAGAGAGGAAATACCCATCATTACCTCTATGAAACATGATATTCTGATATTTGCACTGAACAAAATAACACATTTCCGCCACTAGAGGACCTGCATGAACTATTAAGTGATGACTTTTGCAATGCAAAGAAACTTTAAACACAAAGAGACAAAGAAGCAGAAGGAGAGGGAGACCTTCTAAGGCACTTGTAGCCTAATTTTTAAGTCGTACAATGTTGTAAAGCTATGCATAATGGATGGGATTACATGATAAAGTGTTTATTTATTACGTTCATTTATACATTTATGTTTATTTATATGAAAAAAATGCAGACACAGGCTTGATAAATGCAGTATAATTACATTTTATGTATCCAGATTAATTAATTAACATGTTATTATAAGGCTGCTACAAAATGTACCAGGATAAAGAGTAAATGGCAGAACAAAACCAATGATAATATAAACCTGAGCAAAGAACAGATAACATTTCTTGTTTTTGATTTTTTTAGTCATTTGAACATATTCAATGCCTGCTCATTTATCTAATGCTCATATCTGCAGTGGATTGCCCCACGCATTCAAGCTCCCTTGGGCCATGTGGTCTGAGGCCCCCCTCATGTCCCTGGCAGTCAGAGTCCCCTGGGCACTGGCCTCACTGGACATCAGTTGTTACTCTTTTCCAAAAGTAGTTATATGCACAATTATTACAAATGGACATACAGCATTTTGGAATGAAACAATTGCAGATTTTTGTCCATCTGTTTCTTTGCATATTTTTGCCTTTCTTTACACCATTCACTAAGGGTCACCACTGAGCACAAATAAGCCCACCACTGAGCAGATATAGACCTCTGAAGGACAAAAATAAAGGGAATTTTTGAAAATCGCCTCCGCCATGAGTTAGTCAAAAAGGGTTCCAAATCTGATACATTTTGCCCTACATACATTTTTCCACTGACAGTCACTGTATTCTCTGCATTACAAGGACATTAAGGAGTCAAAATATGAACTTTGCTACATTTGTGCTAATAGCTAACACTCATGTGCATTGACATGACATCGCATGAAAGCAAGGTGACTACTAAACTCCAACACTATCATATAATAACAGCAGCTACTCTAAATGTGCTCCATTACTGCAAAGCAGCTTAACTACTACACTTGACAAGGCTTGCTAGATTGCTTGGGGGTATTTTGGTGAGGTTTCCAGTCTTATGATTTCAGTTCAATGGGCAGCGGTATCTCACATGTAGCAAAATGAATATACCAACTCCTTAAGTGGGGGATTTAAAGGACTCAGTAACACTACGTAGAAAAATGTATAGGACAAAATGTATTGGGTTTGGAACATTTTTCTTCACCACAGGGCGTGATAGAGGCGATTTTCAGAAATCTCATTAATTTTTGTCATAGAGAAATCCTGCTTAGACCCAGAGTTTCTAATGTGGGCGTGGCGCCAATTACAGTGATGAGAGGTCGGTTATTTGGTTGGTGGATCATTCATAGCACAGCACCATGGTGGGGTGTTAGTGTGTGTTGGTATGAATAGATCACACACAGCAGTGCCCACCCCACTAAGAATACCTGGTAAACAGCGTCTTATATATATATATATAGAGAGAGAGAGAGAGAGAGAGAGAGAGAGAGAGAGATTTGTACTTTCTCAACACAAAAACATCACTGTATATTAGGGCACCTATTTTTTTAATCACAGTTTTTCATGCCTATACTGTCAAGCTCAAAAATAAGTTCCTTTACACATTCATTACATTTAACCTTTGTTCTGTCTCTGTGGAGGACAGAGTTTCTCTGTGGGCCTGTTAGAGCCTAATTAGCCAGTCTGATTAAATTCAGCAAGCCTCTGAGGAAACACTGGGCCATAAGACACCAGCTCCATCTGCTGCCAACTGCACAGCAGAGAAAAGTGTGGGGAATCTGCCCCTGTACAGATTTAAGAGGTCTTCCCACACTGTGTGACCTACAGAAGAGTGCCACTGTGGGGTTACCATCTGGTCTTCTCCATGTTGTCTGATGCATCCCACAGCATTGAGACTAAGCTGTGAGTGTTATTTTAATAATATTTTGTCCACAGCATATAATGATTATGAACAGTGAAGTATTAATATTCTAAAATACTGTGTATAATGTGTGAGATCCTCATCCCAGTTGTGGAGCTGAAACCATGGAATGTAACGAATGAACAACCGTGTGCATAATCAAGACACTGTCCAGACAACAGCAACATTACACTACATACACTGATACACTTTGTCTTATGTACATTTTTCCTCTGAATATCACGGGACGATAATGACGTTGTTAAAGATCTGAAATGTGAATTTTGCTACACTATTAGAACAACACTAGACACGTCAGTGTGTTCACGTTGAGATGACACATTTTGTATTACTTTTAACACAAAATGTATGGAAATACACCACAAAAGTATTCGCCTGTCTGCCTTCGCACGCATATGTACTTGAGTGACATCCCATTCTTAATCCATAGAGTTTAATATGATGTCGGCCCACCCTTTGCAGCTATAACAGCTTCAACTCTTCTGCGAAGGCTTTCCACAAGATTTAGGAGTGTGTTTATGGGACTTTGACCATTCTTCCAGAAGCGCATTTGTGAGGTCAGACACTGATGTTGGACGAGAGAGAAATTAAATAACTTGTTATGGACAGGCTTGTAGAGCTGCATGTTTTGCCTCTGGCAGCTGATACCTCCGCTCAGCGCCAGTGACCCCTGTGTCGGCGGCGGATAGGGGGGCCGCGATAGTTTCTCCTAAACACCCAGCAACGTTACCACGGTTTGACCCGCTCTCTGCAGGGTCATCCGAGTTTCGGGACAAAGCCCATATGAAAGAGCCTGTAACAAGGTGGGAGCTGGAACGAGAGGAGAGGGCAGAGCAGAGGTGGGCAGAGATGGAGCTCAAGCTGTCTATCCGACGAATGGAGCTGGATATGGAAAAAGAAATTCGACTGCAGGAATTGGAACTGAGGGTGAAGGAGTTTACCCCACAACCTTTTATACTCTTTGACTAGAGCTCTGCTTTTGCTTTTCTTCCTTCTTTTTTAAAGCTGAGCAGTTTGCAATAAGATGGTCAGTTTTATGACAATAAAAACACTCCTTTGGACGCAAAGGGGAAACTGACCGACCTGACTGGTTATGTGGTAGCCCAGTAGATTCAACATTGACTTGCTTAAATACATTTCTGTGGGTAAGAACAAATTCATCAGCCAACACAGCAGCTTCAGACACAGAATTAACCTTTGTCTCATTTAAATAGACTACAACACGATCTGGCAAACAATTCTTAAATTCCTCCAACAAGATCAACTCTCTTAGCGACTCAAAGTCAGTAACTTTGCTTGCTGAACACCATTTATCGAACATAGTTTCTTTGTCTCTAGAGAACTCGACAAATGTCTGGTCTGGACATTTCTTATGTGATCTAAACTTCTGTCTGTATGCTTCTGGAACCAACTCATAAGCTCCAAGAATTGCAGCCTTGACAAAGTCATACTGCAAACAGTCTTGCAGAGATAAGGACGAGCAAACCTCCTGCGCTTTTCCTACAAGTTTGCACTGGAGCAACAATGCCCAAACATCTCTAGGCCAATTTAATGCTGTAGCTACACGCTCAAAGACAATCTACTTCAACTTCCCTAAAAGGTGGTACTAACACAATGTGCTTAGTTATATCAAAAGGAACGGTGACAGAAGGAGCAGAATGAGGCACAGGGACAGGCCCTACCAAAGGTTCGGGTGGAGAGGACACTAAGGACGGAGAGGATGGTGGCGGTGAAGCTTCCGGCTGGGCAGCAGTCTGCAAGGTGATCTTCATCACCTCTAGGTCCAGCTCCCGCAGCCGAATTTCCCGCTCAACCTCTAACTCCATCTTAGGTACTGCCAGCCTCAGTTCCACATCCGCCCGACGAGCTTGCTCTTTCTCTTGTGCCTCGACCACCGTTGTCTCAACAAGGGGAGGCATTTCTAAAATTCCTAGCTCAGCAAGCCTAGCAAGAACTCTGTGCCTAATCTCTTTTTTAACCATATGCCTTGCTGCTTGAACTCCATAGTAAGCTGCAATTTCTAGTAAAGCATCCTTACGACAAGTCTCAACCATCTCCAGGCTTGGGGAAACAACGAAAGTCTGCAAATCAAAAGTTGCCATACTGCCAATCTATACACTGACACTGTACCACAGTAATGG